GTGGGCCGTGGGGGGTGAGGAGCCGTCGGCGTGGGCCGTCGGGAGCCAGGCCCTGCAGGGTCCCCAGAGCTCACACTCCCACCTGGTCTGTGTCCCTGTCCATGGACACGGAAAGGTGCAGGTTGGCGGGAACTGGGGCTGGCCCACGGAGGCCAGGCTCTTCATTCACAGCCAGGTGCTGTGCCACCTCACTGGCAGTGCGGCGTGTGGCTGTGGCTGTGAGACCCAGGAAGCAGTGCACGCCCATGCGCTCCCGAAGCACCTGCACCAGAGGCGGTGGTGGCGTGAGGCCATCCAGCCCATCCTGGCCCTAGCCGCCCACCCCAGTTCACATATGGCTCACCCTGCAGACGCGCAGGTAGCAGGGCCGGAAGTTGTGGGACCACTGGGAGAGGCAGTGGACCTCATCAATGCAGGCAAAAGCAACTGGAGGCAGCTGCGTGGCTGGAGAGAGGCCTCCTGCCCCCACCAGTGCCTCAGGTGTCAGCATCAGCACGTGTACCTGGGCTGCCCGAACCTGAAGGCAGCAAGATCAGAGGCACAGCCCAGGCACTGCCTCCCTCACCCCTAGGCCCATGAGGCCCCCACCTTCTGCAGGACAGACTCCCGTTGCTTCCTGGTCATGCCCGAGTGTATGCAAGCTGCCTTGAGACACGGTGGCAGGCCAGACACCTGCAAATGCAGGAGCAACGGCCGTCATAGGCCAGCCCGGCCCTGGCCCTTCCCCAGGTCATCCCAGAGCTGCTGCCATGTCCATCCTAGGCCCTCAGGGGAGAGGAGAACCAGGTCCTGGGTCCTAGGGCCAAGGGTTTAGAGCCACCTGTGGGCCTTGGCCCAGGAGCCCTGGAGCAGACAGACTCAGTGGGGAGGGCTCCCTTCCCAGCACAGCTCCTGTAGGGGTGGCCGTGGTGCCTGTGGAGCTGGGCTGCCTTCGACCTACTGCCAGGACTGGGACTGAGGCCACAGACACCTTGAAGCTCCCATGGGAGGGGGCGGTTAGGGGAGAAGCAGCAGTTGCCCTTGGGAGTCACAAGTGCTGGTTCTTGGCTGTGTACATGTGCCCAGGGCCCTGTGTGCACACCTGGTCGTCCATGAGTGACAGCAGGGGAGAGATGACCAACGTGAGGCAGGGGCTGCGCCGGGCATAGAGCAGCGCCGGGAGCTGGTAGCACAGGGACTTGCCGGCACCTGTAGGCAGCACCAGCAGCGTGGAGATGCCTGTGTGGGACGCGAGTCAGCAGCGGGGTTCTGCAGCCTGGCCTCAGCCCGGCCTCAGCCCCGGCAGCCACGCTCACCAGACAGGATCCGCATGACTGCACGCTCCTGCCCAGGACGGAAGGCTTGGTGTCCCAGCTGCTCCAGGGCCTGGAACACCTCAGCCGGCGTCTCTGCAGACACAGGTGTTGACCACCATGACTTAAGTCACACCAACCCCTCGGTAAAGGCTCTGGGCCAGCAGCTGATTGCTTACCTGCCAGCTGCCCTGAGGGCCCCAAGGAGTAGAGTGGCAGCATGGTGGAGGCCAGGCCGGGCACCCCAGGCACAGGTTGTGGTGCAGGAACCAGCGGCTCAGGGCCAGCAGGGTCTGTGTCTTCCTCACTTACTGGGGCAGGCAAGAGAAGGTGGAATGGGAGCTCCAAACAAAACAACCACTGGCCACAACCTTCTCTTCCCCCAAAGGGGTTGGCAGCAGGCAGTGCCCTTCTTCTGTGGTACTTCTTCTAAAGCGTAAAAGGTTGACACCCATCCTCGTCCTTGCCACCCTGCTTTGGGGGAGCCAGGGTAGGGCCTGGACCAGGGGCACCTGGAAGGTCTTTTGCTTGGAACAGAAGTGTCGCCCAAAAGAGTACCGTGCCCTCTCCACAGTGGTGGGCAGACCCACCCACCAGGGCAGATGTCTCACCTGGCTGAGGACACTGGGGTGCCCAGTGATCAAACTGTTCATTCAGGAAACAAGACTCCTTGATCGTGACTGTGGCACCACCACCCCCAAAACACTCCCCTTTCTTCCGCCACTTCTGCTTCCATGCCTGAAGGGTGCCCACATAGGAGGGTCACTGGGTGGGACATGCAGGGGTGCTGAGGGGAGGGAAAGGGAGGGCCTGTCCCAGTTCATCGCCGTCTTACCTGCTTGCGGAGGAGCCTGCCACGGAGTGCCCGGCCCTGCACGTAGCGTTTCTGCTTCATGTTGAGCCGTACGTAATTGCCCCTGTCATGGCGGGCCAGCCTAGAGATGTGCAAGTGGGCTGTGCCCTCAGCCTTCCCCGCCCTAGCTTGACTGGAGGTGCTGCATCTGTGGTACCTGGGGGTCGACAAACTGCTGCAGGGCTGAGGTGGCTGTGCCTGTACAGGTTCCCCTGGAGGGTCTTCCTCAAGTGCGACAGCCCCAGCCCCCTCCGATGGGGGTCCAGCCTGGCTGCTCTGCTGCTGGACCTGTGCGGGGCTTCCCCAGAGCTCCTTGTTCCGTCTCTGCTTCTTGCCTCGACTGCTGCTGGGCTGGGGGCTCCCTGCACGGATGCTGACTTCTTGGAGGGCTGAAGCCTCTGGGTCCGGGGAGCCAGCACCAGGACCAAGGACAGCTGACTCACCCGGGATCAGAAGCTGTGATTCCTCTGAGCCTAGGCCAGGCCTGCAGGCTTTTGGGGCCCCCAGAAAGTCTGGGATCTCACTGTGACATCGCTGTAACCAGTCAAGATCTAGGGAGGCCAGCTGCTGGCTCAGGGATGCCTGCAGGTGCTGCAGCTGGCCTGGCCTTGACTGGGGCCCAGGGGGCTGTGGAGGCTCATCACTGACTTTTTCTGCAAAGGTGGGGACAGGCCCTGTGCCTGGGGGATTTGGGGTGGGCGTCTTGGATGAGGATCTTCCTAGAGGCCAGGGTCTGCGGCCTAGGGCTGGTCCGGCCTGGGAAGGGAACAGAATGGCAGCAGAAACTCAGGCCCCTGGGCTTCTGTAGACTCTGAAACCTGCCTGAGTTCCCACCTTCAATCGTAGGGCAGGCTAATTAGCACAAGGCTGGCCTAGAAAGGGAGTTAAGGGCGAAGGCCCCGAGAAACTCTGTGGAGACTCGCGCCCTGGTTGGCACAGGAGCCTGTGCCTGTGTGGAAAGAGTGACAAGAAAGAACCCCGGGCCAGAAGCACCTCTGGACCTAGTGTGGACTCACTGCTTGCTAACTCCTCACCTGCAGGGTGCCTTTCAGGTTGGCCTTGAGCCGCTGCCCGTAGTCCGGCACCGACCCCTGGCAGCTCCGCCCTGGCGTATGTTGTGGACTGTGGGTTGCAGCCCGATTCAGGTGGGGCCCCCAGCAGTGGGACTCTGGTGCCTGCAGGAGACAGTAGGGGCGCAGGCCAGAAAAAGGCTGGTGTGGAAGCAGAGGCGCTCCCACCCACCCCTCTCACACCTGGAGCGAGGCCCGGCCCGTCTTCACTTTGCTCAGTTCCCCTCCCAAGTTCTGTGCCCCACGGAGGCCTGGCCGCGACTCCGTGGCTCCTGCCACTCCGCCAAACAGGGAAGTGGGAGGAGGCTGGGGTGGCGGGGCCTGGATACCTCTTCGACGGCCACGGGGAG